TGAGAGAGAATGGAGATGGGATGGAGTGGGAGAGAAAACAAGGGCGAGAAGGGCAATTTATGAAGTGTCTGTTGTGGCACACTCAAATTTCACAATTGAGCTTGGATTGACTTGACATTTCAGAGCTGGCTTGTTTACAACCTGTTAGACTTTTTGCAGTGATGTCCCTTTGTTCCTAGATCTCAGCAATGACGACTAAAACTCAGTCTGCATCAGAACCACTAGCAGTCCAACTTTCAGTGCATTTAACTGCGAGTTCCTCACCTTCAGCCTGATACTCCGATGCTTTCTGTTTGAGGTCTTCTATGAGGAGAGCCGTGTCACTGCACCGGGCTTCACTGGACTGTGCCAGCTGGTACAGTATGTCCACCGTCCTTGTGTTGACCTCAAAGTGTGGCACCGGCTGATCCCCAAATACTGTGCTGAGCCAGCTGTTCACCTGAGGAGACATGCAGCTGGATGATGAACAAAAACGCTAACGACAGCCACTGCGTTAAAGTCGTGTTAGTAATACACTGGACGTTACCTTCTTGATCTTTTCACACATGGCGAATGACAATGAAGTTTAAACCACAACAGCTATCTTCTTAAAACCTTTAGCAGTCCTTAGGAAAAACAACAACAGTTTACGCTTTCTGGTTTCGCGCCCCCAAAACTCATTCTGAACACTTCCTGGTTAGCAGCCAATGAGAAGACGGAGTAATGTCCTCATCGACCTCCAACGATTTTTTTTTTAAATAGATAAAAGTTGATGAAATTGAAAAGGAATAAAATAAATACCAATAAAAAGGCGAATAATTACGTAAATGCAAGACAAAAAAAAAACTGTAGATGTTAACAAAAGTTTATCCGGTTCACGTTTCCTCCAGGCTGCCAAAGATAAAAGATCAGATCAAGATAGTTCTGTACTTTGCGATAACCTTTTCACACTTAACTGGAAAAGAGTGGGGATTCTGACAAGAGGGAGAACTGAGAACACACATCATTTGTGTTTTTGGGATTTATTTTATTTGACAAAGCAGAGACTAAAAACATCTGTTCACGGTTAAAGATCAATATTCATGTACGACAATAATGAAACATCTCGGGAAGTGTTGGGCGTAACGCATAACAAACTAACGCAATTCATTCCCATTTAAGAAAGTATTAAAATACATTAAGAGAAAAAAGTACAAAGAAAAGGGCTCGTTGTTGTTGTTGTTGTCTCTTTGTAAGCTCTTCTCAGAGGAAAGCGGAAGTACACGCGGTTACACATCTCGCGTTGTCTGGATATTCACTTCACTGTCATCCACCCGCGTAACTTCGAAACATCTTGTATGGGAAAAGCTAGCAGAAATGGCGGCGAGAGAAAAGTCGTTGAAACACCGACTGAAACATGTAAATACCACGTTTGAAACGTCAAGTATTGACTCCACAGCCGTCGAAGAAAAGTTGTTCGGCCAAGCGGAGGAGGAGGAGGACGGTGACGACGGACCTGTGGTGTTTATCTGCGGGAAGTGCAAGTTGCCTGTTGGAGATTCACTGTCCTGGGATGGAAGTGAAGACGACCAGAACCAAATAAGACTAAAGAGTGAGTCCAGGTGTTTAGATCGCTATCTTTTCTTTTTCGTGTCCCAAACAAAACTAAAGGGTGGAGAAAGCAATTTTAAGAAATACATCATCTTTGGGATCTGTAAGTTTCAGTAACTTTAAACTGCTAACGGGGAAGTTTAAAAAAAAGTCGACTTGCTAAATGTCTTATATGAAGGTGCATTCAAATGCAGTTGTCGAGGTTGGGAATTTTGAAGCTACCTTGTAATGACAACGCTGCACTAATCTGCTGACATGTTTGTGCTGTTTTGGGTCTTAGGGGTCACTGACAACGTCTTGGTTGGAAAGGACAACCGCCTGTATGAAGTGAGCAAGAGCAAACGATCTCTATGGTAAGAAAGTAGTTCCCACTAGTGAATACAACAATGTAAAAAATAATCCATTGTATGTTGTTGGGTAGATTCATCTATAACAGGTCATCATATTTTGCGAGGTGAGCATATGTTTTGAATATGAAATCTTAATGTGCTCTATTTAACTACAACAATTAAACCCACCTTTCCCTTTACTATTGCTTTATAAGTAGTACTTGTTGCGTTAAATCTGTCCCTATGTCTGTTTTCTTTTCTTGGGTCAGTCTGGTGGTGGATCTGTTCTGTCAAGGCTGCCACTCTGTGCTCGGCATGGTTTACGCGTCCACGCCCAAGAACCTGGACCACAAGAGATTTACGTTCTGTTTTAATGTAGCAGACATTGACAGGTATGTTTAGGGCTTGGTTTATTAGTGGGAATGTTTAAAGGCACACGTCCCAGGTTACGTTTGTTTAATGTGATCTCGATCAATCTGTGGAGACTGGGTGATGATCAAAACATAACTGTGCTATGCTGTACACCTGTAAAGTTATTTTACAAGATAAAAGAAGCATGCCATTGCACTTTCACTAGAGTCAGGACTGTAGATTATCTGTGAAAATAATCTCCACTGAAATTGTCCCCTTATTTATGTGTAGAAACGTGATTTTGAATATTATATCTTGACTCAAATATTACAGCTATACAGTTGGAACACACACACACATCAGCTAAAGGCACAAGCAATTAAAAGCCAAACTCAATCTAACAAGTTGAAAGTAAGAATGCATTATGTTGTTATTCCATAGTTGAAAAGTGAGTTTTAAAACCAGCAGTCCAGTCTACACCACAAACTGTGGCTTCCACAAAAGCTGAATGTGAAAAGCTTCACACATGTAGCGTTTATGGTTGGCGTTATTGCATTGAATTTCGTTAGTTGTACTGGTGTTAATGGGACGTACCTGCATTCAGCATCCTAATATTATACTGTGAACCTTTTCCAGCTATGTGCTTGGCTCTGCAAGCCAGATGTTGACAGCAGAGGGCCCCAAAGAGCAGCCAGTCACACTGGAGTACAGAGGCATTGTTGAACAACAGCTGACAGAGGTAATTTATTGCTGCTGCTTTTCTTTGTCTGTTTTTTCTCCGATATTGTGTTGCTGTGAAATAAAATATTTCATCTGTTGAGCAGAATATCTGCTCTGGAGCTCTGTTCAGTGTCTAACCACGACTGTCTCTCCTAACACAGGTTAAGTTTAGTCCCTAAAATTGTATTGTTGATGGGAAGAAAATGATGAAAAACTATATATGTGACCTGCACATGAGTCACTGTTGCATTGTGTTGCTGACAGTGGTCTCATTGCTTTGGAGCAGCTCTCATTGATTATCAATGCACAGGTTGTACTAATGATGACATCAGTTTAGTTCTGGGAAGCCCGTACTCCTGTGACGGGCAGACGTTTATATCAGACATTACCTCATCTCTCCATGTCACCCCCTGCAAATAGATTTATTTTTCATGAGATTTTATATTTCATTGAAATAAAGAAATATATTTTCTCTAAGTTTCAGTTTAAATATTAAATCCATTTTTCTTTTTAATTTTCTGTATATTTCAACTTTGAATTCTCTTCATGTTTGTCACATTAATATTATTATTGTTTTTAATATACAAATTCAGAGGGTACGCACAATTCTTACTGGAATAGTGTGGTAATTCTCGAAGTTGTTCTGAATCATCCTTTGTTTAAAAAAATATCCATAAAGCCACAGATTGGCCAGTAGGTGGTGATAGTGTGCAGGACTACCTGCCAGCCCTCCCACACACTTGCACCAAGGACAATAGATATGATAGGGACCATGTGGAGGAATCTTTGTGAGCGGAAAAACATGTTTTGATCATGAAGTGTCTTTGTATGTATGGCTGGATGAATATATGGCATTTTGTTTACTTGGCAGTGACAGTTGATTTTCCTGCAGGGGACCGTTGATCCATTGCATGAAGAGATGTTATCTGTGTAACAGACTATATAAAAAACAAGTTATGATTAAAGGGCAAGAAGAAAAGCATTAAGATTGGCCAACAAAACATTAGTCGTGCTTCTAAGTCCTTATGGAGACTTGTGTGCGTGTGTCATGTTTGTGTGTATTAGCACATCAACTCCCATGTCATTATTCTGTCAGTGACTTGGATCATTTCCAAGTCGCAGACCTACAATTATCTGCTCTCTTCTGATCAATGTTTATCGCCAAAACCAAAACGCATCTCAAAATAAATCTGCTTCCTCGTTCATCTCACGCAACGACACACTTGTCACCGTTGCAACAATGTTTGCACAACTTGTGTCTCTCAAACAAAAGGCCACTTCAGGGCGCCGTCTGATGAAATGAACATGCTTACCTCATATACTCTTTGGTTAATATGTAGGTTACCGCTTAAATCCACCTCGTCATTGACTGTGTTTAGTTTTAGGCTGAAAAATAATCTCACTATAGCTACACACTGATTGTATTCATTTTAGGTGGTTTAATAGCAGTCGTCGGTAGCCATTGGCGCACTGTAACAAGATTATAGGTCAATAATTAAAATCAGTGTTTTGATTCATAACATGTCTGTCAGCGGATATCGTTGACTGACCATTTCTGCTTTAAATTCTTAGCATTGGCATTGTGTTTGAGCTGTTTTGCCAGCTTACACGGCCAATTTTCTTATCCAAATGTGAAGTAACCTTTCTAACTGTGAGTGGTATGTAACAGCTTGTCCGTCCACAACTCGTGTAGGTATAGTAGCAACAAGTATCGAATGACGTTAATCACACAGTTTCTGCTTAAAATAAGTATTTTTGCCAGTTTGAATTTGTATTTTATCTAGACAAAGTTCTTGCAGCACCGCTTGTGTTTAGACAGTTTAACATTCTGTACATATATTTAACATTTGAGAAGTTCGGCTTCTTTTTAATGCTAAAAAAAAAAAAAGATGTGGTTGCATCGATTACTTGATTAACAGAAAATTAATTAACCAATTATTTCAGTCATTTATTTAGCAAAAATGCCAACTAGTCCCTGGTTCCAGCCTTTTAACTGTGATGATTTTCCCAGTTTAAATGGTGAATTGAATATCTTCTGGATTGTTGGTCAGATAAAACACTGAAAAATTGACTAATTGATATGAATGAAAGGATGAGATGAACATAGTCGTAGTTGTAGCCCTACTTCTTCCAATTCTGCATATTTTTCAAAGGTATGGAGAAAATCTTTTTTATATCGGTACGATAAAACTCCCGTATCGTCACTAGCATTAAAAACAGCAGCCAGCCCCACACTCAAGTGTTCTTTGTCCTCGGCTGTACCATATCTGATGAAGGTGCCCATCACCCCTGCCGCCATACTTAATGTATTCTGTCTGTCTGTCTGTACGGCTGGTAGACACTTGTTTGGGTTGTTCATCTTGTACACTCAGTGACCTGTCTCTCCCCCCCACCCCTCCCACTCTCTCTCCCCCCCTTTATACCCATCCATCCCTGACCACTTCCCCTCTGGGTTTTGTCATTCTCCCTCACCGTCCCCCTTTTTCCAATTATCTTTACTCCTCCCTTCTTTCTTCCTCACTGCTTCCTGCTGCTGCCTTCTCTTCCCACCTGTCCATTTCCTTCCTTCGTTTCTTCGCCGTTCTCACTCCTTCATGCCCACCCTCTCCATCCTCACTCTTTACTCGTTTTTCCGCCCTCGCCGTTCATCTTCACGTCCCCGAACCCTGTCAAACCCCCGCCCCATCTCTCCTGCTTGACCCCTATCCTTCCCAGATGAAAATGCTGGTCATGTCCATGGCGCACAGGCTGGAGGAGATCGAAGCCGGCCTTCAGGAGGGATGTGATGAGGCATGACGGTGACGGACATGAGCTTGTCCGGGTGGGTGCTTTGTCCAGGTGTTGAACGTGAGGTTATAATATCCTCCCTTCCTCGCAGCTACCTTTACATTAACACTTCCTCTTTTAAGTTTAAATTTCAACCACATTCCTTCAGTAACATTCCCTAGTCTCACCTTGTGCACAGACACACACACACACACCACTTCCACTCCGCTTTGTCCTTATTACCGATGGTGAAACAAAGACTGCCTGCACTTGTAATCAATCATGTTGTCAGCTCGGCTCCTGTGGCTCGTAGCACCATCTTCTCTGTACGTCTCGCCGCAGACCCGAATGTACGCTATGAGCAGAATGTTTATTTGTGCAGGATTTCATCAGGCACGCTGCACACTCAGCACAATGCCGTATTGATCTGGCCATTCGAGGCCACACACACACTATTTCTTTGTTCTCTTCCTCAAGCTCCACGCTTGCTTGAGGGATTGCGGGATGGATATATGCTTTTTATTCAGAAGTGAACGTTGTTTGTGGGAATTTGGATTCAAACAGGGTTTTCACCATTAAATACTCAAATACTCTTTAATATTCCCTGCATCTCATTTATTGGATATTTCTTTTCACTTTAGTAATCACCTCATCGCTGTTCTGTCTTTTTGTAAAATACTGCCAGAATTTTAATTTCTCATTATGGGTCGTTTATTTTTGTTTTGTCTGTTCACAGTTGTACAAGTTTTGTCTGACTTATTTTTGTGTAATAAAGTATTCAAGTGTTTCCAAAAATGATTTTAAAAATGCCTTTCAATATTGTCAGTTTTACATAAAGAAATTAACAAATGAGACAACTTCAAACGATCCGGATAATCTTTTTAAATGTTTCTTTTTGTTTTGACTTTGTGCACTGTGATTGTTGGGGGATCAGTGGCTCATCCTGCTTTGTCTCTAATTAGAAGTATCTCTTGGATTTAAGAGTTAAACAGCAAGTTTAAGGTATTTGGGGCTGAGGTGGTGGTGGTGGGGGGGTTGATTATATATAAAAGGCTGAGTGTTTGTTTACCAACTCTGACCTCTAATGTGCCTAGCAACACTTTCTACCAAGGCGGGAAAGCGGCTGCATGCTGTACCGCTTGCCCTCCCTCATCCACGAGGTTTCATCAGCCTCACAGAACAACAACAGTTAGAAACGGCCAACCAGCATGCTGTATCCAAGGGCAGGTTGCGATGGCAACTGAGAGCACGTGCTATGCTGAGTGCCTGTTGCCATCTCGTCATCGCGTTTCACCGCCAGAGGAACAGCCAGCCAGCTCGCTGGCCGGCATGCCTGTCAACAGACGTTACCCCCCCCCCCTCGCTCAGTAGCCCCCGCCCCCGCAGACACATACACGGGGGAGGAGTCCTGAATGAACCCCCCACACTAATCTCTGTGTGATGTTTTTCTGGCTGCAAACCCCACCCTTGCCCCTTTTTCTCCCTCCCCCTCTTTCTAATTCTCCCCTCCCTCAACTGCTTGGGAAAAAAAAGTCAAAACAACAACAAACAAGCCGCGTGTTTTTTTGTTGTTGTTTCTGGTGCTGTTGGTGGTGGGTGGTGTTGTTGTCTCCATGCATCCAGCCCAGAGAGTGGGTGATGCAAGCCGGTCCAGCCAGTCAGCGGTCCAGATTTGTGCTGTTACGCCCTGTAACAGACTCATTTCGGAGAATATGTCCCTGTTTGTTTTGTTTGTTTGTTTTGTTTGTTTGCTGTTCCATTCAGAGTAATAAAGCTTAAAGGCTAGCAGCCGCATTTGACGTGAGCGTCACTGTGAATGGCTTACTGAATGCCCCCTGAACTCATTTAGCTTTTTTATATATAGACACGGTGTTGCTGGATGCATTGCACTGCAGAGTGCAATTATTGCACCGGTTTCACCCCACTCACCCCTTTAAGTCTCAACCAATCACTACCAGCCAAACCAAGGCCGACGTAGAAACACAAACACACACACAGGCAACAGTCAGTACATCTACACACATTGTACAGGCACTCGGGGACAAAGGATGAATAATGCAGAGGTAGTGTCTGAGTGAAAGCCCTCCCCTCTTTTCCTCCTTTTCACCTTCCCTAAGCAATAAGGAAGCAATGTTGCCATGGAGGCAATGAAGCCTCAGCACGCCGTCAACCAATTACAGCCTTCCCTGTGTGAAACATTGCACCAATGGCTGCTCGAACTGATGCTGCTGTTGCCACAGACACTGAAATCCTATTGGCTGGGCTCTGCTCTTTGATTGAATTTCTGATCTTGTTTTTGAGAGAGAGAGAAAATATCTCAAGGAGTGCCACCTGTGTGCCAACTTACAAAATATGTTTGTTTTTTTCCATGAAATGAAAAAGATTACTTTGGGATAAGGAAAATATTTCTTTTTTTGTGGGTTTAAGAGACCTGAATATAGTGCCATTTGAGGTTTTGTAATTGAGCAAGGAGGAAAGTGATTTTCTGGTATATTCTGAGGGTGTCGGGTTTTTTTTTCTTCAATTAAAAGGTGGAAAAACAAACAAATTTAAGTAATGGAAATATTCATTAATATTTTTTTTATTTAAATTTAGTTTTCTGCCTTTCCATCACAATATTTGGTTTCCCCCTGACAAAAGAACCACACCCCACTAGTTGCTCATAGCTGTTTATGACCAATTCCTGGTTTAACACTTGTCCAAACCCCACATCCACTGTGTTCCATAACAGCCACATTTATATCACGTCATATTTAATCTGCACTATGCATGTTAATTTTCAGCAACAGTTAAGTTAAATTTAATAGATTCTATCATATGATAAACAAAACATCTACTTTAAAAAAAGAATCATTATGTGGTAGAGAACCAGCCAAACGTTTGACTCGGTTGATCGCTGTTACTTCTCCTCACATGGTTGGTTGCTTGACATATGCTTCACCAAAATCTTCTTTTTAGATCTGAAGTCATTAAGACAGTCTGGTCTCATCTCTTGTGTTGGACAGAGTAGACAGCAGATCAATTAGTAAACCCCTTCATCTGGGAGGTTAAGTTTCCCACATTAATCTCAGGAATCAGTGGGTGTAAGATGATCTTGGTGTCAAGAGCATTTGGGAAACTTAGCTCAGTTTTTTTGTTGTTGTTCTTATTTTACAGACAACCCCGCTGGGGCGAAAGCGTAAAATCTCTGATAAGCTACAGCCTTCTCGTTTCATTAATCACCTTCATCTTTGTCTGTGATCGAACCAGATAGCCGGCCAGTCAAGAGACTCGTCTGTCAGAATAACCCAAATCCCCTCTGAGTGCTCAAAGCCTCCTACTTCATTAGAAAACATCTGCTTGTTTATTTCCCCCCTCACATCTTTGTGTACGCCGGTGTCTGCCAGGTTGTCTGGTTGTCTCTCACTCTCTCCTACCTGTCCTCTGCTCTGTGTGAGAGCTGCTGAGGAAGGCAGTACTGGTCTGTGAGGGTGAACCAGGATGCTTAGGTTGTGTGTGTGTGTGTGGGTGGGCTGAGCATGCACGTCCCTGGTGTTCGCCACTGTGTAGCAGGTTAATCGTCTGTTTTTCTCAGACACAAAGGCTCGTCCCGTTGCCAGTGACACCCTGGTGTGAGTGTGTGTGTGCGTATATGTGACGAGGAGGGGCTGAAAACAGGATTAGTGTCATCAGGATCTAAGCCTGAACAGATTGACAGAAATGAAGTCCGGCTGTACAGTTAAGTGGTCAGTTTGGCCTCACATTAAAAGTAATTTGAATATTGAAACAGGATTTTTGTGTGGTCAAAAACAGGAAATGAAGAAGTCTCTGGTGAACGTTTATGAATGCCATCACTCGGTTCTTGAGTAAAAGAAGAAGAAGGAGATTGGCTGGTGAATGATTCAACGTGCCTACGTGTCTCCAAGGTGTGGCATATTCCTGCTCTCTAGATCAATAATTTATCTTGTTTCAATCTCAAATCTCAGGGGTTTATGAGTCAAGATGAATGGCTTGGTGATACGGACAAAAGACCTCTAAATGTGACGTATGAAGGTATTTTGTCATCCCTGGAGAAATCTGTCATCCTAACTGCTCAGTGTCGTTTTTAGACAACATATTAGTTCGTCACTTTTCTCAATATTAAAATTCCCCCCGAATATGATTATGATGAAAAATATCAATTTGTTGTCAAGCCCTGCGGGGGCGGTGGGGTGGATGTTTGTTTATCACAGACTCGTCACTGTAACTTGACCTGTTTACACACAGATTAATGTTGAAATAATCTGTCTGTCAAGGAAAATGATTTTTCTGTCTTTATCTCATCAGTATGGATTTTTTTCTTCTTAAAGCTTCCCGAGATTGCACGTAGATTAACAACTTGCTTCCGTGTACAGAATCCCCTGAAAGGCAGCTGCAACTAACTTTTTTTTTGCATTTTATTTATTAATCTTACTCTTTAATAATTGAATCTATAAAAATGTGCAAAAGTAGCGAAAATTTCTATCACAATATTACAGAGCCTATAACGTGACTACTCAAATTGCTTGCATTATTGCTTGATTTATTACTTACACTGATTAAATAAAAAAATATTGATTAATCTTCTGCTCCATGGCAATCTGGTTAAACTGTTACCAAATCTGGTGTGACACATCACTGTCCCTCACTGATTTGTTTCTAAAACCATAATCATCCACCAATCACAAGAGGTGGCTTTCTGGGAGCTCCACTCTGTCAGGACTGAGTATTTGTTTGTGTGTACTACCAGAGCAGCACTGAACACTTGAAGGTATTACCTGTACACGCTCTGTGGTGCAAACTTTCCTTTCACTCAGCACTGTGGTTAAGCCACAGTATACATAGCCACAGCCTGTTTGTCTCACCGGACCGCCCAGGGATTTTTGACTAACTGTCTGCCTGTCTTTGATAAACAAAAGGCTCCGGCTCTAATGCATTGTAGAGCCACTCTTGCCCCTCGGCTTTTATCAGCTTAGCCACGCCGATTTAATCGGACGGCCCTGTTTGTGTTGTCCTGTGTGTGTTTGTCTCAGAGCTCTGGTGATCCCCCTTCTTTGTCTCGTCAGGGCAGTGTCACCCAAAGAGGTTTATGATGGGGACGCAGGAGCCACAGCTGAGTGGATTAGTGTCTACAGTATGTGTGTGTGTGTGTGTGAGTGAGGAGGGAGGGGTCATAATATATGTGTGTGTGTGTGTTAGTGTCAATCCTAAGGATCCTTCAGCTGTTGCAAGGCTGGGTGTTTCTTTTTATACCCACCAAAGGTGTCCCGTGGGAAATGTGTATGGTATGTGAGAAAAAGGGCACATTGAGGTTGTAATGCAACAGAGACCCTTCCATAGCAGAGAGGCTGATCTTCATTAAGTCGTCCTGGAGCTGAGAGCTTTAGGAATAAATTACACGCCTCAGGCTCTGTGTAAATTATACATAAATTAACACAAATGTTGGATTCTGTGGATTATGCTGAAATTACTTACTTAATTATAGTAATTTAAGTATTAATTGTACATTTTGTCAGCTAATAAAAAGTTGTATTTTGTCATTATGTGCACAGATGAAGCCAGACAGTAATCAGGTACATTTGAAAGACCAGACAGACACATAATGGATTTAGTATAAATATTTAAAATACTTTATACAGCATAGAAATCTCTTGACACCTCGAACAAAACCATCCATTACAAAATCTTACAAAAGACCCCCCGAGTCTGTATCAATCTCAGTATCAACCAGAAAAAAGTTACAAAGACATTAATTTTCAAATGGTGACAGTACAGTTCGACTCGTGAGACATTGCATGCAACTTTTCATTTGGACAGGAAGAGATTCTACGGTTTCTTAACAGTGAGAAGCCTCGTGTACCTGTGGAAGCCTTTTTGTGGAGTTTTTACGAAGCCACTAACGTGAAAATGTCGGCTCGACAGACATTTTAGAATCCCTTCGTACAGAAGTGACAGGAACACAGGAGTCATACTGTTATTTACAAGCACAATTTTCACATCACTCTCAGAGAGCTCTTGGCAAATACTCGTCGTTGCAGTTAACACTTAAGACTATTGCACAGACTACAGCTTTAAGACAAAAGGAAGTGAATTATTATCATGGGTTTTGCACAATCCTAGTAGCAATTCTTTCCCACTTTGATCAGTTTCATAAGGCTTCTGTTGCTCTGTTTTTTTTTAATCTTTTCTTTTTTTTTAAAAAAAACTGACTGAACAGGTATATCCTCCTGTGAAAAAGTCATAACTAAGACAGTTTTACAGTTTCCCCGTGGGTCGTAGAGGTCACCTAAGACTTGTATATAAAAGTTATAGCTGTGAATTGTTATCAGTGTTGAGTGATTGAGTTTATGAGTATGCTATAAAAAGTGAGCGTATGACTCTACTTTTGGTACCTACTTCTATTTCAGTGTGTTGATTCTAATGGCACTAACGCTCAGACACTGCAACACTGTGGCAAAATCCACACAAGCATGTCACAACCGACAGCTGCTATACATTAATGTATGAATAATGCAGTGAGGTAAAAGATGGTAAACACCGTTGTTACTATAGGTTTTGGTTTTTAAGAATAGTGCAGTGAGCTTCTACATCCAGTCAGCATTGAGGATACAGTGCCAGCTGGCTGGAAGTCAGTGGGTATCTTAAGAGAGTTTTCACAGAGACAAAACATTTATACATGTAATCAGGGTTAGGGTTGGGGTCTGTTAGCTGGTGAGAATCAGTTTGCGGCTCAATTAGTAACCAGTTACAGCAATATTACATAAGAGAGTATCTCTTAACTCAGTGTATATTACAGTGTTCTGTGTGTATACATGTCCGTGTGTGTATGTGTACACCTTGTTGGCAAGGCCCATATTACATGATGTCCAATGTCCAAGCTATTTAGGACACAGCGAGGTTTAGTCATCCCTCCGGGATCTGTTTCCAATCTCATCTTCTCAGTGTCAACACCTCTCATTACATAAGGAGAACAGTAACATTTTCAAGTCCATCATGAAAAGTGGCTCAGTCGCAATAAAAGAACAATTCACAGTTCAAAAGGCCGCTCTGGAAGACCTCTCTAACCTCAACAAAATGTTGAGAGGGGCCTTGGGTTCAGTCTGTCTTTCTTTCATTTTCTTTTGTCTGGTATCCCTCAGCAGAGGGTCTTGAGTGCACCTGAAGCACAGAGGAGAGTCTGCATGGGGTAGGGAGGGGGGGACACCACTTCCTCAACGACCTGTTCTGGCCGGAAGGAGAACGGCTGCAGCTGGACCTTCTTCTTTAGGATCTGTCCGATTCCCATAGAGGGGAACTTGCTGCGGTGCGTCGGGCTGTCAGGATCGCTGCTGCTGTTGGAAGGAGGACTGAATGCTGAGGTGGGGTTGAGGGGACTAAAGGCGGACTTCGGAGGGCTGAAAGCCGAGCTGCCTGGGGGGCTTCCTATGGTGCTGGGGGGGCTCCCGCTGGTGTCGGAAGAACCACACCAATCTGACGAGAGGCTCTTCTTGGGCTGCGGGTTGACAATGAGGACAGGAGGACTGGGGATGGTCGCCTTCTTCAAGTAAGAAGAGTCGGGTTGGAAGGCAGAGACGTGGCGGGGTGGGGACAGAGTCCCGTTGGTCAGCTTGTACCAGGGTGAAGCTGGGGTGTCTTCTATTTGCTCTGCTTTGGAGAGGGAGCCGAAGGAATGCATGCCGATCGGTGATGGTGCTGGTGGAGCGGGTATGTTGTGTTCTGGGCTCGTGTTGACTTGAGGGAGGGTGGCCAAGCGCCTTCGTTGCTGAGGGGTGTTGTGAAAGAGAGGCTGGATCTCTAGATACTCCATAGACGAAGAGGCGACAGTGCCGGGTGGTGCCAGAGGTGAATTACGATGGCCACCAGTTATGGCACGCAACAGACCTGCGGGGGAAAAGAGAAGCATTGAAACATTTCTGAAATACTGTATTTTTCTGTCTGTCAAACAAACATTTGGAATATTAGTTGCAGATGCAACTGAGTGAACTGTTGAGAACTACAACTTCTCTGAACACTGTGTGATTATGTCCTATATGTCATGTCAGTGAAGACCTTATCTGAGATCATTTAACAAGCAGGTGTCAAGGTACAAGTACATTCTGTTCGGATCTACTCAAGACCAGCCCATCCTGACATGCTGGATCTGAAACCAGCCTATAGTTTTTAATTCACTGTACCACTTATAGGCAAATGAGGGGAAAGGAGTGAGCCATGCCCTCGGGCCCTTGTCCGTCACTTATAAGCTCTTCTTCAAGGAACGTGTACTGACAGAGTGTTATCGAAACCACAATATGCAAATCTCAAGAGCTGTAGTGTTTTGACAAAGGTAAAATATGTGACAAAACAGCATTGTAGTGCTGCAGGAGCGTGGCCTTGTATACATAAAACCTTTTTCATACCAGATTTAAAGAAAACAATGTTTGCTTAATTTTGTACAGACCCCCAAAAATTTACTCGTCACATAAGATTTTCAGATAGGGTTTTTGAGTAAACAATGTATAAATTGTTTGGATGACCAGAAACCAAAATGCAATATTGATTTTTTTCATCATATCGCGCAGCCTAAATTACATTCGTGCTAATATTCCTCACTACATTCAAATCCTGACGATGAATCAACAGGTAAAAATTTAATTTAACTTAAAACTTGCCCTAAACAAAAATTGCAACCTGCGGGATGACCAGGATGGTTCCTCTGCAGATGGATGGATGGGCACTGGATGGGTATGGATGATGGATGGATGGACGGGGACAAAAACAAAATCGGGAGATGGAGGACGGGGTGGACTGGACTCCGACGGAACATGACTGAAAGGATACAGTCAGCATGTGAACTGGAACACAAACGGTCCGTCTTGGCACCGTACAAGAACATGCCACCATGCTCAGATCAACACTACCACTGATGAATAAAGGCAAAATTACAAAATAACAATAAGAGGTAGGCACTTTACACAATCTACAAGTATCTTTTTTCTTATTAATTATATTCTTTATTTTTAACAAACGTGGCAAAACAAAGTTTGCTATTTTTATATTTTTTTTTTTTATTTTTTTTTTTTACATTTTAACTAATTTATATTCACAACCAACTCTACTGTAAGATTCCTCACCTGTCCTGTGTTTCTTCTCCTTGCTTGGCCCCTTGCTAACAGCCAGGTAGACGGGTGTCTGTTTGGGGGGGATAGTGAGCTTGTCGACGTGCTTCCTCCACTGGGTCTGGAAGTATTCACTTTTCTGCTTTTCTCCCTTCTTTTTCTCCTGGAACTGCATCTCCTAAACACACACACACATACAGCAAGCCGCTTATTACAACCGTCCTTTGCATTTCACAAACCTGTTGTTGCTTAACCAGATATGTCACCAAAAAACCCTTGCACGCAACTACATTCAGGTGTCAAAAAGAAAAACACTTTGGAATTTGTTTAGAGTGTGTTTCCCCCCCCCGCCCCGGGATTATTAAAGTATTTCTGATTCTGATTTTGTGTAAGAGTTTTTCCTTCACCCTCTGTTTTTGAGAGCGACACGGGACAGGTGTGAGCTAGGGTCCCCCTTACCCTGTATTCTTTAGAGAGTCTCTTCATTTTCTTGTTGAGGAGGAAGTAGACGGCCAGAGTGTGGCAGGCGCGATTGGTGAGGACGGCGCTCAGCACCTCGCTGTGCTTGTAGCTCATCTTCTCTGTCATATGCAGCAACACTGTGTGGTTAATTTCCTCGATGTGGATCCTTAAAACAAAAATGGAAATTTAAATGTTTTTGGTTGTGATTCTTTAAATTAAATGTGAAAATTATGTTTGTTTAAAAAAAAAAAAAAAAAAGATTCAGAAAACAAATTGACTAAAATAGATGACACACTGCTGCAAAGTACAAACTCAAACCAACTTTAAAATGTGCGTGTCTACCTGTTGAGGTACGGTGCCCCTGTGTTCTTGTTGGCAAGCTGTAGCCATGAATCAGCCATCACCTGATGGATATTGGGACGCTTGTTGGGATCTGGCTCAAGGAGCTTCTTCAGGAGACAGATGGCAGCTGAGACAGAGAGAATAAATATTTATATGTTGCTACCGACACTCAACTCACTACAAAGAGGAACGTTTTCCATGTTTGCACATTAGATATTTTTCTTATGAAATGTTTCTCAATTTCTCTTTCCCCTAGCATGCCACTCAGCAGTTTTAGATGGCGGTGCGAGTTAAACAATCCCTTTGTCTTGACACAGTGCACCTACGCACTGACTGCAACTTCATCCACCTCATCCGCTTTCATGCCGTTATTACATAAGACAGATGAGATAATAAATCTGTCATTAGCTTGATTGATAGTTACTTACATAACTCGGTTAAGCCATCATTTACCTTGAGTTTCAGAATGACTAGAGAGCGTCACTACTTGTGAGTGCATACACACTTTTTTTTTTTTTTTTTAAACTCATGTTGCTACACAGAATGTGCCTGTGAAAATATATTCTAATTCTACTCATATATAAAGAGTACAATTAAACATTAAGAAATCTACTATTTATTTTCCTGGGAAAACCAAACAGTGGACAGCCCTTCTCAGGAATTCTGATTAGTAAAAATAAATAAGAATAGATTATCTTTTTGACACAGTGCCAGCGACTTCACTGGAAAGGTTAACTGTATTATTATGAACAATGACAGATTTGTTTTCCTGGTACTCTGCCAATAAAATTCTTGTCATCCATGATCTGCACAGATGTGCGCATTTGTGTGTTCAGTACTTACCTGTGGAGAGTGAGGGAGGTAGCGGGTTCATCTCCTTGTCCACCATCTTCTGGTGCAGAGCTCGGAGACTGAAGGGCTCCACGGTAAACGGGAGAGTCCCAGTCAACATTGCATACATGTTCACACCACTGGAAGATCAAAAATACGCACTTCAGCTTATGGGCGCGCTCGCAAAATAAACAAATCTATTTAAATATGTGGATATTGGGCAACAGCTGATTAGGAGAATACACTCACATGGACCAGACGTCCACCTTCGGCCCGTACTTCTTCCTGGAGAGCAGCTCTGGGGCGGCGTAGGCTGGGCTTCCGCACTGGGTGCTGAATGGGTCTGAGTATCCCAAGATGCCAGCGCAGTTACTGAGACCAAAATCTGAGGGACAGAAGAAGCGGTGTGAGTGTTGTTTCTGGGTTTATTACGCTCTTTTCAGCTCACCTGTTAAAGTAGCCGCCTCATCACAGTGTTACACACACAAACAGAAGCAGATTAACACTATGGTGAGAGCCTGTAAGGGTTTTAACAGGATATTTAATTACTCTTAACGCTTAGCCACATGTGGGACGGTATAACAATCCGTCCCACTCCAACTGAGAAAATCTTTTAAATCTAGTAAAAGGCATCAAAGGCCTTCTTTTATTGTTAACTGCTTGAATAGCATACGTTATTTTTGTTCTTTGCTTTGGGAAATATTTATGAATGAATTTATTGTTCAGCTTTTTACCGAACAAGGCAAAGAAACAGGAAAAGAGATTTAGAGTTAGATTGTGTAAATGTACGAGCTCTTGAATTACCTATGAGCTTTATGTTGTCCTGCTCGTCCAACAGGAGGTTTTCTATCTTCAGATCCCTGCAAGACAAAGAGAGCAAAAAGACTGTATTTACATGAGAATACACTTCCACGTGAATCCCATGCGCCAAAATAGGCCACTGGCACTAACAAGAGAGGTCACCCCCCCCCACAAACCCCAACACATACACAAATACCCCTCCCAATGTGGGTCACGCTGGCTGATTTTCAGGGTCTATTGTGTGCCTCCAGATCCCTCCTCAGTCTTAGAAATCCTGTTATACAGTTATCTACATAGGCCATCTTACCACGATAGAAATTTAGTTCCCAGGCTCTGAGCGACAAACAATTGAATATTCCCAGGGAGAGCTTTGTGAAAATTTTATCCGAAATTTGATTTAGGAGATGCAGTTTATGTGTTTTCTTCCCTAAATCAGTTTATTGTATCATAAAGTGTAATGGTATTTGTAGAAGAACTGGATTGCCTAAAATCACAGTGCATTGAAATCCAGCATTTTAAAAACGTATTTATTTTTTAAGAAGTTCTTAACAGCTCTTTTGGAAACTTCCTAAACCATGGCAGTGCTGTTATTGAGCAGACAGATATGGTTATTTGTGGATTAACAGTAATGTGCACTATGAGAACTTTGAGAAAGAGGATCATGTCTGACTCAGATCTTAAAGTCAGCTTTAACCCATGAACAGCACAAAGCTCTCTGAGCTATGGATAGCAAACTGCCAATATTATTTGAGGGACTTATACGAATTCTGCTCTAACACTGCAGAGCAATGTGTGTGCCGCTCTGTGTGTGTGTTTTTCTTTCTCTGCATTTATCTACCTTATTGTAAGAGTTTTTTGTGTTTTTTTTTTTTTTTTTTACCTGTGCACCACACCCGCCCTGTGCAAGTGCTCAACAGCCAGCACCAACTGTCGGATGTACTTCTGAGTCTCCCTCTCATCCAGGCGCTTCTTGTCGTAGATGCGGTTCATGAGGTTCCCGCCGGGGCACAGCTCCATCACCAGGTAGTAGCTGTTCTCCGTCTCCAGGATGTCGAGCAGCTGCGTGATGTTGGGGTGGCGGATCATTTGCTGGATGTGGCCCTCCCGCCGTAGGTTCTTGGTAACATACGAGTCCTTCTTGGCCTTCCGCTTGTCGATCACCTTCACCGCCACCTGGAGACAGAGAAAGAGCATTAGGTGAGGAGGATATTGTAGACAAAGCACTGGCTTGGCAGCTGAAGTTTGGCCCTTAAAGCGTGTCTTGGAGAGAGGTTTTCGGAGAGTTGTAGAGTAACAGGTGATGAGCTACTCAGTCTCCGTTGCAGGGAATATAACTCGACACTGACCTCTTCCTCACAGCTGCTCCCAATGTGGGGCAACCCAGGCGCTATAGGGCCCTGAGGCTGCAGGAGGGGGGAGGTGTGTGTGTGTGTTGGAGGGGTTATTGAACCATCATAAACTAGGCGAAAAGCAAATGTTACCCTATCTTTTAAGAAAGGCGCCAAAGCCAAATGGACATTTAATATACTCCCATTTGTCACAGAGTTTAGCTCCAGCTAAACACACGAGGGGCCCCGACAAATGTTGAAACAAGAGTGAGGAAGAAAAGGGAAGGAAGAGCCTTCAACAAACTGAGAGAACAGATTCCCAGTCGGATGTGTTAAGTTTCTTTAATTACTCATCCCAGCATCTTCTGTCCGTGTTACCCTGCCCTTGGTGTCTCATTGACGAAGATCTCTCCTCATAAAAGCCTTAGAAAGTGTCCTTTACCTTTATGACAAACACTTTGCTTTGCTTTGCTAATTACATTCAATAACGTACCCATCTACTCCATTTTGTCCTTTGCCTGCGTGTCCCCTTGTATCCCCGTCTAGACTGAGTTCAAGAGCATGGCTACCATACACAGCAAATCATCTCAAGGAGAGCCCACAGACATGGAAAGGCACGACCAATGAAACTAATCACCATATCCATTAATGAAATGGCGAGGGCCAAAGTGGTCGTGTGCGTGTGTGCCATCTCTTTCTTCTGCCCTTCAGCTTGTCTTTCTCTTTTACTTTCGTCCTTTCATCTCTGATAATTGATTCACCTCTGAAAACCTTTTTTACGGCTGCTAATTAAACCTGGCTGCATGTGCTTGTGTGTGCGTGTG